CAGAAAACAGCCCGGAGGGTGCCCCTAACGCAACATGCTCTTCCGTGTGCATTTTTTGTCTTTATTCTGCTATAATTCTACAGATGATCCAATTACATTTTAGCGTGCTTTTGAAAAATTCTGCAAAAATGATTTGGAATTCCCCAAACGTTCGAGGTTGGCTATGCAATGCACTGTTACATCGCAATTTCAGTTCTTGGCTGCTCCTGTGCCCTGCAGGTGCTGTGTTGTAAAACTGAGCAGAAGGGAGGGGAATTATGTCACAGGAAATGAGTGCAACATCACTGCATGTGAGCCTTCCTGTCCGCTCTGAGTCAACAGCACATGCCAGAAATGACCAGCGATGGCTTCTGATTGCCTTAAAAAAAAAAGAACACAACTGTGATTTATTACGCTGCTCTTTCATGAAGCCAGCTGGGTACAACCAGGTCTCAAATCCAGTGACTTGCAAAGATGGGATCAGTGGTTCTCAGGCTTAGCTCAACCTTCTGCGCAAGGTGACTGCAGTCTCAGCCCGCCGGGCGTGAAGTAAGCTTCCACTTCCTGTAGAACGCTTACAGCACACGTTTACACTTCCAGCACGCTGAAATCTACCCCCTGTGCAATTCAAAAACAAGCCCAGCCAACGAAAGACAACACCACAGGCATAAGGAACAGGTTTTTCGTCCTCTTCCCCGACACATGAAGCATCGAAAGAAAATCACTGCTTAACGTAGGCGTGTGCATCTTGCAAACAGCAGGTGTGAGGATTTGCGTAAAGATTTTAGGTGCCAATTTAGTCAATTGGTCAATTGCATTTATCTGTGATGCATCAGAGTGCAGCTTTCGCCGTAAACCACCTCATTAGTGAGAGAGCTGAATGGGCAGAACTGAGGAGCTGATTTAACCCGCCGAAATGTCGAGCCGGGTAAAAAAAAAAAAAAATCAAGAAAGGAAGACGCAGACGGGAATCGATATTCCCCCCGATTATCGAGAGAATGATGCTTTTGCACCGTCAGCGCGATGGAGGCTAGACTAAGACCCCCTCGGTCCCGTTTAGAGACGAGTCGAGGCGCAGAGTCAGCATGTGAGGAGCGGTGTGTGTGTGCGGCGTGACACGCCCACTGTCGGCGCACGTGGGGCAGACCTGACGAGTCGCTGCAGAGCTCCGCCTGTAGAGATTGAAGGCAATCTGACCGCAGGGCAGCTGCTGCCCCCTCCTGCGGTCTCCCCCCCGACATGACAACACCCCACCTCTTGCTGCTCGGCCAGCAGCGGCCTTCTTGCGAGGCGAGAACGCGACGGGGAACGGCCCCGTTGAACATTTCGGGGTTCGGCTAGCTGGGACTATCTGTGGCTCAGAGACCAGTGAGCAGCCACGCGCTCGTCCAGGAGGGAAAGGGAGAGAACCCAGCAGCTGGTGCGAAGCCCGCGGCGCAGCGGTGCCGACGGTATAGCTTCCCG